TCTTGTAGGATACTGTTGTGGGACACTCTTGTGGGACACTCTTGTGCGATACTCTTGTAGGAAACTCTTGTGGGACACTCTTGTGAGACACTCTTGAGCGACACTGTTGCGGGACACTCTTGTGGGACACTCTTGTGGGACACTCTTGTAGGACACTCTTGTAGGACACTCTTGTGGGTCACTCTTGTAGGACACTCTTGTGGGACACTCTTGTAGGACACTCTTGTGGGACACTCTTATAGGACACTCTTGTGGGACACTCTTGTGGGACACTCTTGTAGGACACTCTTGTGGGACGCTCTTGTAGGACACTCTTGTGGGACACTCTTCTGGGACACTCTTGTAGGACACTCTTGTAGGAGACTCTTGTGGGCTTGGGGGACACTCTTGTAGGACACTCTTGTGGGACACTCTTGTAGGACACTCTTGTAGGACACTCTTGTGGGACACTCTTGTAGGACACTCTTGTGGGACACTCTTGTGAGACACTCTTGTGGGACACTCTTGTGGGTCACTTGCGGGACACTCTTGTGGGACACTCTTGCAGGAAACTCTTGTGGGAGACTGTTGTAGGACACTCTTGTGGGACACTCTTGTGGGACACTCTTGTAGGACACTCTTGTGGGATACTCTTGTCGGACACTCTTAAGGGACACTCTTGTGGGACACTCTTATAGGACACTCTTGTGGGACACTCTTGTGGGACACCCTTGTAGGACACTCTTGTAGGACACTCTTGTGGGTCACTCTTGTAGGACACTCTTGTAGGACACTCTTGTGGGACACTCTGTGGGACACTCTTGTGGGACACTCTTGTGGGACACTCTTGTGGGACACTCTTGTGGGGCACTCTTTTGGGACACTCTTGTGGGACACTCTTGTAGGACACTCTTGTGGGATACTCCTGTAGGACACTCTTAAGGGACACTCTTGTGAGACACTCTAGTGGGACACTGTTGCGGGACACTCTTGTGGGACACTCTTGTGGGACATTGTTCCAGCTCCCCAGATACTCCGCGTACTGAAGTTGTACTACAAGGTCGCCAGTTCTCACCTTCCACCTCCATAGATTGCTCCGCGCGCGTAAGTTGTACTACAAAGTCGCCAGTTCTCAGCTTCCGGCGCCGGACAAATCGCACTCTCGCCTGCATTTCGCGCGCTCAACGCGCACGATCTCCGCAGAGGGTGGTGCGGGCGCCGGACAAATCGCACTCTCGCCTGCATTTCGCGCGCTCGACACACACGATCTCCGCAGAGGGTTGCGCGCGCATGGGACAAATCGCACTCTCGCCTGCATTTCGCGCACTTGACGCGCGCGATCTCCGCAGAGGGTTGCGCGCGCATGGGACAAATCGCGCTCTCGCCTGCATTTCGCACACTCGACGCGCACGATCTCCGCAGAGGGTTGCGCGTCAAGTCTCCAAAACGAGCGTTTCGTACGAGACTTCCTCAAAAACTCGCGCGTCAAAGTCTGCAAAACGAGCGTTTCGTACGAGACTTCCTCCAAAAGTCAAGCGAAACACCCATCGGAGCACACACACACACACACTTAGGATAGGGTGTACTGAACTGAAAGCGGTGCCACACGCCCGCCTAGGGTTCCAATTCCTAAGGGAACAAGTACGAACCACGGGAACCTGGAGGACTTTAAGAGGAAAGAAGGCCCAAAGCGGAAGAAACCCATCGACGATCGCGGATCGAGCAGGCTGACGACGTTCGTTCATGTCTGCCGAGTGCATTTGCCCTTTACCAAAGGTTTAAAAATTGTGCAGGTACAAGTGGTTGATCAGACCACTCATCCGCCGAAATGCCATAGCTTCGTTGGACTGGATAGGCAAATCGGCTCCAGTCCCCCTGCTACACAAGGAAAACAACTGTGAAGCGAAAACAATCCGAAAGGATCCCTATGATTCCAAGGGTTACACACACACATCACGCAGCCCTGCCAAGCAGTTTCGCGATTCCAGCCCCTCCAAACAACGTCCGCTCACACGCCAATCCCAATGTGACAGCGACATTCACCTCTACCACAACTCACAACCTCACGATTCCCTGCGCCTGCCACGAATCTTTCCGCGTCCACACGTCTAACGCGCGCAAAGTACTGCGCCTGCCACGAAATGTCACCTCCGTCACACCTCGCAACCTCACGATTCCCTGCGCCTGCCACGAGAATCGCATTTCCACGCCTCAAAACCCGCACAAAGTCCTGCGCCTGCCACGAAAAGTGACAATATCATCTCGTGTGAGCTTCAACAAAATTTGCACCGCACCACACGTTTGGAATGATTTTGACCCGTTCTGAGCACACTCCCATCCACCAAAATCGCCATTTCAGCTGAGACTTGTCACGAAAACCGAGCTTCGATGCCACACCCTGAAACGCAAATCCCAATGGCACGGCCACATCCAACACCCCAAAAACACGACTCTCCAAACGCTAATCCCAATGGAACTGCGCAGCAATCTGCGGATCTCACAAAACGCTGCGCAGCAATCTGCGGATCTCTTCTCACTGTGAAGAGAGAAGGAAAGAAAGAAAGAGAGAGGGAGAGAAAGGGAGAGGAGAGAAGAAAGAAAAAAAGGCAGGTGTTCCCAGCTACGAACAAGCGTCCAGGGACACACCAAAGAAAGAGAGGGGTGATCCTGAGTGTTGCATTCAGGAAAACCCCAGGAAGCAAAGAAAGAAAGGGGGAAGGGAAGGGGGAGAAGGGGGCTAAGGTCCCAACAAGAGGGAGGGGTAGGGAGAGACGAGAAAGAGGAGAGGAAAGAAAGGAAGGTGTTCCCAGCTACGACGCATGCGTCCAAGGACACACCAAAGCAAGAGAGGAGAAGGTACCCAGCTATGACAAAAGCATCCAGGGACACCCAAGGAGGGAGGAAGGAGAGAGAGAAGGAAAGAAAGAGAGAGGGAGAGAAAGGGAGAGGAGAGAAAAAGAAAAAGGCAGGTGTTCCCAGCTACGAACAAGCGTCCAGGGACACACCAAAGAAAGAGAGGGGTGATCCTGAGTGTTGCGTTCAGGAAAACCCCAGGAAGCAAAGAAAGAAAGGGGGAAGGGAAGGGGGAGAAGGGGGCTAAGCTCGCGACAGGTTCCAATGAACCTTGAACAAACTTCGGTCGCTGCGACCACGTACGGCGTGCCCAGGGGCTGCCATCTTTGACCGCTACGGTCACGTAAAGGCATGAGCCAGCTTAGAATTCCAAAGATGGGACAAAATCATCGTACGTACGGCCTAGGCCACCTACGCTCGCTGCGAGCTGCTCTGTATCCGGGCAGTGGATACGTTCGACGTACACCCGTTCGACGGGTCCACGGGAGGCACTCTGCGGGCTCATCCCGGGTTGGCACGAGGCCAACCACACTTAGGATAGGGTGTACTGAACTGAAAGCGGTGCCACACGCCGGCCTAGGGTTCCAATTCCTAAGGGAACAAGTACGAACCACGGGAACCTGGAGGACTTTAAGAGGAAAGAAGGCCCAAAGCGGAAGAAACCCATCGACGATCGCGGATCGAGCAGGCTGACGACGTTCGTTCATGTCTGCCGAGTGCATTAGCCCTTTACCAAAGGTTTAAAAATTGTGCAGGTACAAGTGGTTGATCAGACCACTCATCCGCCGAAATGCCATAGCTTCGTTGGACTGGATAGGCAAATCGGCTCCAGTCCCCCTGCTACACAAGGAAAACAACTGTGAAGCGAAAACAACCCGAAAGGATCCCTATGATTCCAAGGGTTACACACACACACACATCACGCAGCCCTGCCAAGCAGTTTCGCGATTCCAGCCCCTCCAAACAACATCCGCTCACACGCCAATCCCAATGTGACAGCGACATTCACCTCTACCACAACTCACAACCTCACGATTCCCTGCGCCTGCCACGAGAATCGCACTTCCACGCCTCAAAACCCGCACAAAGTCCTGCGCCTGCCACGAAAAGTGACAATATCATCTCATGTGAACTTCAACAAAATTTGCACCGCACCACACGTTTGGAATGATTTCGACCCGTTCTGAGCACACTCCCATCCACCAAAATCGCCATTTCAGCTGAGACTTGTCACGAAAACCGAGCTTCGATGCCACACCCTGAAACGCAAATCCCAATGGCACGGCCACATCCAACACCCCAAAAACACGACTCTCCAAACGCTAATCCCAATGGAACTGCGCAGCAATCTGCGGATCTCACAAAACGCTGCGCCTGTGCAGCGAAATGTGCAGCGAAATGCATTACGTTTCTTGTGCGACATGTCATTGTCATGCAAATCACAATGGAGTAGCGGCGCAAACTGACACGTGACACATCCATGCAAAGTCACTTGCAAAAGCTTCCCCCAATGGCAGCGAATTTGAGACGCAACGACGACGACAAACGACGAGACGACGCAAACCATGCAAACATATTTCCAACCCCCAGACCCCCAACTATAAACGGGAACCCTTCGCTACGCATTTGGGAAAAAAAAGTGTCTTTGAGGGAGTGATAGCACTGTGAAACCCAGAGTTCTTCGCAAGATGTGCATGTTTAGGTTCTGGTGGGGGCCTGGGAGGGCCTCAAACCTGTCCCTCCTAACTCCTCGGCAGGATCTCTCGCAGAAGATCGTCTGAGGCTGAGGATTTTGTGAGATTGGTGGTCACAGGAGCTGGTGAAAGACCTTCACAACTGTGTGTGCAGATGCTGAAGAAATCCTCACTGTGAGCATTTTTCAGGTCAAGAATAGGCTCATTCCAGGATGCTTCTGGCTCTGAGATGTTGGGCATCAGGATTTGCTGCGTTTCTTTAGCCAAAGTACAGCATTTCTGAAACAGGAATCCGCGCCACTCAATGCTGGGCTTCACTTGAGAACGCCACAATGTGCACATCTTTACGTGGGACTCAGACACGAGACATGTTGTAAGTTGTAATTGAGCAGCCATGAAGTCACTAGAAGATGCCTCAGATTCCTTAATATGCCTTAGGTGTTTGAGTACGACAATCCACTTGAGCCTCGTGCCATGGCGAGACTTCTGGGCTTCGGTTTGGCCCTGGTGGTCGCTGGAACGGCTTGGACGGCTTTCTGCGGTTGGGCCACCTCTGGCCTTTCCTCGCGGAGTGGGACGGCTCTGTGGGCACAGCCCAACTTCGGAGATATTTTGGGATCTGTGGGCAAAGTGGGTGAAGCGATGAAGAAGATGCCCGAAGCTTGGCAAAGAAGACGGGGAGTCATGTCAGTTGGCCGGTTTCGATTTTTTTCGATCATTCTTCCCACTCCTGAAGCCTTGAGTAGGACAAGGTGGCAAGACATGGCAAGACCGTGCCGTTTTTCACCTGAATGACTCGGCTGGCATCGGTGCCTTTCCATGCCCGCGACTTTTGGACGGACCAGCACTCCTCATTTTTTCCTCGTCACTTCAGCCACGGTGTCTAAACATCATCCTCCACAGAACGGGGCGATCTATACCGGGATCTCCAGCCTGGCCGGACTTGGATCTTCCACCATTCCCAGGAGCTACAGAAACGTCTCCGCGAAACGCCCTCCACGGGCTCTGCGCTTGGGGGAAAGGTCAAAGTGACTTTGAGTGGCTTGGCCTAAGACATCGGAGGTTTTAGAGTAGGAATGACGAAGTTACCAATCCTAGGCAGATCACACCTCTTCAATCTTGCAAAATAAGGTTGAACTTCAATTTCATGATAATATATATATATATATTTTTTTTTTTTTGAATTCATTAGATGGACATCATCAAGGGTGTTCTGCGCACTATTTTGGTAAGTCTGCCAGAAAATGCGTGCTGCATCTTTTTGATCGTGGATGGACATTACAACGAAACAGCATGCAGGTTCAATTGTCTTCACTTTATTGAATTTTAATGTCTTAAGCAAAGAAGACACCCAAATGTGGGTTACTGGTAGCGTGAGGTGGCGATTTGGCTCCGTTGAGTGTTGAGATGGATGAAGAATTGATGGAAGAAGGCGGCACGGGATGGGCCGAACTCTTTCACTCTATCGTACATATAGCTTTCTTGAGCAATCAGGCCCTCTTGATGCTGGTCTCGGTGTGATTGATTTGCAGTCTCGGTTTCCAGCTGAGAAATGTTGTAATCAAGTCGTGGCTGGGCTCCTTTCCCACCAAGAGAACACATCCGCGACCCGACCAGCTTGGCAGTGGTACGGCAGGTTTGACTAGCAAGGTCTTGGCGGATGCGGTCTTCGTGGCAATTAAGGAAGTCTCTTGCCCAGCTGAAATGGATTCAAGCCGGCCTGTAATCAGAGCAATGCTGTTTTTCAGGGACTGAGGTGACTCTTGGGTAGCTGAAGTGGATTTGACCAACCAATCGTGCTCCACAGTAGGAAAAGTCACTCAAGAGTCTCTACTTGTGGAGCGGGAAGTGGTAGGGCTTTGTGCAGTCAAGGCAAGGTCTTTTGTGTCCTTGTCCGAACATGTTGCTGCAACAGCTGAGGCACACAATGCATCCTTAGAACTCTCCAGGAGAAGCTGGCCGGTCACAATTGACAAAGCACAGAAAAGCCTTCTCCTTTTTTGTCGCCGTCGAAGGGATGAGTCAACCAAGCAACACAACAAAAGCAAGGGCTAATGCGATCTTTCTGCTGGGTCAGAGACACACAAGATCAACTCTTGGCCGCAAGCCTGCCCTCCAAGCTGGTTATGGTCTTCATTGGGGTCCTCTCCGAGTGAATGCCAGATTTTCCATGTTCTAGGCGCTTGAGGTAGATTTGCCCCTACACACACATTGGCACAGTGGGTTCGGCAGTTCCAAAGACAGAAGATTTGACAGATTTTCTCATCATCCCTCAAAAGCTGGTGGTCTCCAAAACAGGACTGAGCTGTCCAAGTTCTACAAGGAAATGGGGATGCCTGTGCCTGGTGCTGGAGGTGGCTTGGAATGCAACAGGGGGCAGGACAAGTGAGCGCAATCTGATAGGATAACCAAAGAGAGCCACGTGCTTACATTGGGGGGAGGAACTGGATAAATGATCCTGCATACAGTGCTGAAGACGAAAGGCCCGCACCTCTGTTGCCCACACACACACACATGACCCTTCAAGTCAACCTTTGCCGATGGGGCAGAGCATCTGACCAGCCACCCTTGCCTGACAGGTGATTCGAAGCCTTCGCTGTCGGTGGAAACGCCCAGGCATGCCTGGCGTGGGCGGTGGCCTCCCAGCGAAGCCAGCGGCACCCGCCGCCCCGGCGCCACCGCCGATGGAGTTCGACCCGGCAGGGATTGGACCACGCATTGTGGACTAAGGCAGCAAGGGAGGTCACTGAATTCAAGAGTTCTTTTTGATTGTTCCAGGACTTTGGGTGACATGGTTTCTTGGCGCTTAATGCTCAGCACTGCGTGATTCGTTGGCGCACGCGTTTGGTTTGTCCAGGCGCACCACCGCGCAGGCCGTCGCAGGCGACCTTGACATTCTGCACACCGCGGTGGGCCATGGCCAAACTTCTCCTGTGAGGATTCAGATCAGGGCTGGCCAAAGCATGCAGTCATGGCTTACAATCATGCTAGGTCCGCTGTTAGGGGATGAACTGCAGAAGCTCCATGTTGGGCGGTTGTTGCAGTTCCCTGCTCTGCCTAATGACCGCACGAAAACTCAAAAACAGCCACAAGTGACAAGGGCCAGCCTTGAACATGGATCGGTAGATGGATGAGTGGATGAGGTTTCTGCGAGCTTCGGAGAAAAGGCGGACTTGCGGCTAGAGATGAAATGGCAGTGGGTCAAAACCCAGAGCCGAAACCAGGGTAGGTTGACCTTCCAGGTAGTCTATTCTGTTCATTCTCGGTGGTCAACCAGGGTGTCCCGGTTTCGACCCACAGCACACAATATGCAAGGGGGGCAATGTGCTGCCCCTTACCGTCGGTATAACCTTGAGGGCTATAGCGGCTATGAGTTGTGCCAACTCGTGGCGCCAGCGGTCTGTTGCAACCACTTGGTTCTGCAACCTTGCAGGAGGTGTTGTTTGGTGTTTTAACCAGCAACTTCGCGCTTAGCAACCTGAAGAAAAGAGGCCACTCACCAAGGAGATCCCTAGCACTCGCAACGCTCGCCGAGGAGGAGAAGCCTCTGGAGGCTTTTTGCCTGTCGATCCAATCTCGCATGGGCCCCAGCCAAAAGACCTTGCAGCTACGAAAGCGAAACAGGTGAGTGAGTTGTGTTTTTCCCCAAGCAGTTTACTGACGGGGTTCTCTCTCTTGGGAAAACACTGGCCACAGTCTGGCCGCGCCCCTGAACAATGTGTCCGGGTGTTGTCCTCCTGTTGTCCTCTTCTTATCCTCCAGTTGTCCTCCTGCTGTCCTGTAGCCGCGTCGCTGGCGAACCCTATATACATACTTCTTTTTCCTTCTTGTGTTCTCCTGCTGTCCTGTAGCCGCGCTGGCAAACTGCTGTGTCCTCCTCTTGTCCTCCTGCTGCCCTCTTGGTGTCCTCCTGCTGTCCTCTGGCCACGCTCGCGAACCCTTTTGTCCCCCTGCTGTGCTTTGGCCACGCTTGCGAACTTTGTGTCAACCTTCTGTGTCCTCCCCTTGTCCTCTTGCTGGCGAACCCTAGAAAGAAATGGCTGGCCATGATAGCTGTGGTCCGGGGCTTGTCCAGGCCTTGTCCGCTGCGCTGCTGTGGGCCATGCGTTGTACTTTTTTCAGGCTTTGTCCAGGTCTGCTTGGCAGCGCCGCCTTGTCCAGGGCATAGGTATCAAAAAAGAACAAAAAGAGCATCAAAACAAAAAAAAACCGGATAAGCAAAAATAACAAGCGAATCACAAAATCAATATTCCTTGATAGGCCTCTTCTGCTGCTCTCCTGGCCTTGTGGTCTGCCGGTCCTCTGGTAATGTGGTCCCTTGGTCCTTTGGTCTCTTGGTCCTCTGGTCCACTTGGTCCTTTAGTCCACTGGTCCCCTAGTCCTCCGGTCTCCTGGTCCTCTGGTCCTGTGGTCCGCTGGTCCCCTGGTATCCTAGTCCTTCTGTCTCCTGGTCCGCTGGTCTTTTGCTCTCCTACGGCGCTCGTCTGTCGATCTCCTGGTCCCCTGCTTGCGCAAATAGAGGCTTGATTGCTTTCTACTAGAGGCAGTTCCCTGGGAAGAAAGTAGGTACCCAACGATAAGGTAGCCGTCCAGTCATTGAGTAGCCCCACTCGAAAAATGGTTCACCAGTGGAAATAGCTCCCTACTAGGAGGGAGCTCTGGGGAGGTACACTCTCCTAGTCCCCTACTTCTTCCATCCTCTTCCCTTCGTCTCCTATTGGTCCACTCAGAGACAACTGTCTTACAGAAATTGTAGTCTAGCATCGTGAGGTACTGTAATTGTTTTGATCCTGTTCTTTTCTACTGCTACTACTACTACTACTACTGCTGCTACTGCTACTGCTACTGCTACTGCTACTGCTACTGCTACTGCTACTGCTACGCTGGTGCTGCTGCTGCTGCTGCTACTGCTACTGCTAGTGCTACTACTACTACCCCAACCATCCTCAGTGGGCTAGAATATTAATTTTTTGATTACCTTTTACTTTTTTATTGATCCCCGTTGAATATTTTTTTGATTCTATTTTTATTTTTATTTTGATCCCTTACCCCAGGCCTTGTTCAAGTCTTGTCCGGGTCCGTTTGTCCTGCTTGGCCACGCCCCTTTCCCTTTCTCCACCGCCTTGTCCGGGCATGTTTTCGTGTGGCTATGAATGCAACACTAGTGCAGGGTTTCAATTTTGATATCATCATCGATTTTCTCACCACATGTATCCCTTTGTTTTTGCACATGTGACAATCAGCAACTATTGATTTCAATCAATGCCATTCCCAAACAGCTGGAAGCTATATATAGGCATGCGTTTACAGAGGTTACCACCGACATTGGAATTCAAGGAATTGACGCCAAAAATGCTGAAACAGTTTGTGTCTCTGCTGCCATAATCTTTTGAAAGTGATTCTGGGTGCATTAAGGCGGCTTGCGTAATGCTGGTAATGGAAGCTAGAGAGATGGGATTCCTGAGAGATCATCAATGAGGGATCCGTCCTCCCTCTTCTGAGGAAGGTAGGCGAAGGTATCCAAAATCCTAGTAAACGGAGTAGTATAGATAGGACCTCCTTTGGATCATGGAAAATTTTGGTCATACTCGAGTCCCTTTACATTAGCGACTTAATATAAGCTTGGCCGCGGCCGGGACCTCTTTCGTGCCCCAGACTGCTGAGCCACAGCCCCTTCGATGTTGCTCTTCAGCAAAGCCTTTCGCCTTTGTTTCAAGGAGTGCAAGCACTGCTCGGCGATCCACAAGCCGGTGTCAAGGCCCACACCACGATGCCATTCATGCCGTGCTGACCAGTACATTAATTCCATTGTATACTTGGTTTTGGTTTGCCCTTACACTTTAGACTCAGGAAAATATCCCTGAGTAGTACTAGTACTGCGCTAAGAAAAGCAGATGGACCCCCAAGAGAAGGCACCCCCTGTGGTTGAAACAGCACGTGGATCCGGCACACCGATGGCCCAATCTTGGCATGCTCCTTCGCAAGCATCGGCAGGCCGCGGACCTTGCGATCGACATGTTCCGCGAGGACGGCGATAGGCCAGTGGGGCGAT